ATTTCTGAGGAAAGGTGATAGATTCAGAGGCCTTTTATAGGGAGAAGTTATTACGAATGTGTGCTGTGGGCAACACTCAGTGATGCTTTGGCCCCCGTGTCCTCCCTGGAAACAAAACAGCCCCCTGCCAGTGCCCCCCATTTCATTGATAGGAAGTTAAATAAAGTTAATTAGCAGGTATTTTAGCAGTCAGATCCTTTTTTTTTTTTTTTTTACATCCTTCTAGGTTCAAGCACTCAGATAGTAATACTAAAAAATGGTTTGGCCAAGAAGCTCCACATCATTAACGATACTCTTACGCCCTCACTGCAGGTATCTTTTTATACATTATCCGAGCAGGTTTGGCTCACAGAGATACAGCCTGATACCCGCTTGCCCCAGGGAACAGCTAGGAGCTTTGAGTAATTTTGGGAAATAGGAAGAGCAATCTTGTTTGATGAGTGTACTTAGAAAAAGGAGCAATAAAGCCACAGTGCTCAGTGCCGTGGTCTGTTGCCTGACTCGAGGGAAGGAGGTGTTTGCTTTGGCAGAGTATCCTTTTGAACCCCAGGAGGTTGCTTAGGCCAAAATCTTTGGTCTCAGACAGTTTTATGGTGCAAAAATGCCTCCTCAGCCTTTTTCCAGCTGTTTACAGGAATTAGACGTGTCTTAAGGAGATTGTCCACAAGTCCAATAATATTAGAGTGAGACAGGAGGAGTACAGGACGCGGAGAGCTTTATAATAACACATTTCTTACCGCATGAAGTGATTAAAAAAATGTTTGCATGCCTACGTATGACAGATCTTTCATAATAGGGTGCTAATGCATGTTGGAGGCAAAGCACAAGATTTTTCTTTCAGAGAATGGATAACAGTCTATGGTGGTGAAGTAAATTTAATCATGTTAAATGCAGTTCCTGCTTCTTTGCAATTTTGTCATATTTTGAAGCATCTTCACTGAAGACAGTAATAACTTAGAAGAACTCAACTCTGAAAGCTAATCGTTGTTTCACGCAAGTATTTACTATCCAGAGTGTTCAGTGGACTTGATTGATCTGGGCAATGCAAAAAGGTGAGGCCACCAGCACAAGAATTTTATAGCACCTATAAAGTACTGTATACAGTTTTTGCTCAATTTTATGCTGTTAAACTAAGCATTTGGTATCATATGGCACTTTAAGTACTTTGATTTATGTTAAGACAGGAATTGCATCTGTAATAAACATTCTAAAGTATGAGTTTAAGAGCAATCTACTGTATTTATTTGTGACATAAACACTCACCTGCAATGCATTTGAGAATCATCTCAGACTTAACTCACACTGCACATTACAGCCATTAAGCTTCAGGCACAGCAAGGTCATATCCAAGGTGAAGACGGAAGTGACTGGGAAGAAAGGGGTGGCATGGCAAATATTTTGAAATAGCAAGTGGAAAAATATTTTTTTTCTCATATTAAATATTCCAGATACATGACTGTAATTTCTTACTCTACTATAAAGGATCCTACATGATACCAAACAAGATAAAGTACAAATCCAGTCTTGTTTAATATGAAATATTTAAGCACACAGCCATGAAAATAACATGAAAAACCCACTGACACATTTGAAAATAAATATAATAAAATTGCACGTGTTTCAGGTTTATGAAAACTCCCTCAAGGATGAATGAAAGCACAGAAAGCCTTTGTTGTACTGGAACCTGCCACAGCTGTGCTCCGTGGGAAGAATCCTCCCACCATTACATTTGCTATTTTGGTATCGAATTAATTACGCGCGGTGGAACCTGCTTAAGAGTCACATAAAGTAATAATTTAAAAATTATTTTAGGCAGCTTTTTAAATAGCGTAATCCTACCGTCTTTGCATATTTTTGTCTGATAGTAACAGAGTGTGGGAGAGTGGCAATAAGGTAATTGATATTATTAGGAATGAATGACAAGGCCTCACTGGCAGAGCGGCACCTTAACACTTATGCAATTTCCTAGGAAATCACAGAATAAGTGAATTCAGATGGATGTCTGGTCTCCCAAGAGCAGGCAAAAGAGAAGACAAGAAAGACACAAGAAATCACGAACTCAAAATTTTGAGGGTAGCACAGCTCATCTGGGTAACGACTTAAATAAAAAAGACAAATCCAGGATTCTTTAATTTAAATAATAAAATTAGAGATTACTAATCGGTATTCAACCTTTGAGGCCGTATGTGCTGACCTAGCCTTGTCTCCACGTTTTCACAGGGAAAGGAAGGAGAAGCTGTCTTTTTTTTGTCGTTACACGCTGAGGCAGCAGTGGCACACTGAATTTCTTACAGCGAGGAAGACTTGGACATTACGTAATGCTGCACAGGTTTCAATAAACTAAAATGGGACAAGAAGACAGGAAAGCAGTGCTTAAAATCCTACTGCTAAGTTTGCAGAAAGTCTAGATGATATTCTTTCTTGAATATTTATTTTTCCAGGAATCCTTTGTCATCATTCTTGGCAGAGACAATCTGCCACGGTTGTTAGAAGCTCTCAAGAATACTTTTGCAGAGTGAATTTTTTTTGGCCTTTAGTGTACCAAACACTGAAACAAAAGTACCCAAGATGAAATCCTGATCCACACGTCAGCTTGAAAGATCACAGGATTTTTTTTGGGGGTAGTTAATTGATTAATTGAAATCGATCAAAGAAGATCTTTGCTGAGGATATCCTTAGAGCCTCTGAAAGCTGTTCACTTCCATTTTTCTCACTGTCAGCTGATTATGGGCCATAATGTCATCGTCCTGCACCAAAAATTGCCATTTAATATGTTTACTCACGATGTGATTTTGCCTATTACTTTGTCTGTGGGGCTAGAAAGCCTTTTTCAGACTTGGGAGATAAAATCTGTGTTTCTGCATCTTCCTTTAAATATCCTTGCTGATAAAATCGATCAAAAGTTACAGGAGACAGTTTCTGTGGGATCTTTTTGTCCAAGTGCTGGCCCATATGAGTTACATCTTGGGGTGATTTGAAATCGATATGAGAGTATTAGAGTTTAAAGTACATTTAAAATCAAAGTATTACTGCTTAAGACAATGATAAAGCATTAAAAGGGCATGTCTGAGAGTGTGCTGGTTACCTCTCAGCTTTACCTACTACTTCTCTACATTTACTTGTGCCTTCTGAACTGACAGTTAAAAATAGTTATAGGGACACATTTTTGATGATAATATTCTGGCACTCTATGGATTTGTTAAGTTTAACTTTGCTGGGTACAACAGCCTGGAATCGTTAGCTACCGTTTTATGGAGCAGGCTGTGCAGTTCATGTCCCGTTGGTGAGGATTATCTTCCTTGACCCACAGTATAGTGTGTCTGAAATTACTGTGGTTAAGATTTTGCTTGAAATGGAGCAAGGGTGGGCTTGGGAAAGCTGCTGTGACCCATGGACAAGTCACTTCTGTTGACTCTGGCTCTGTGCTTCATGATCAGAGTGGGCTGGGGATCCTTTCCCTTCACCAACGATGAATCCTGAGGTTTCTCAGCATTTTCTTTCTGAGAGTGACAGCAAGAGGATAGTTTGGGGACTCTAGCCTTTTGCAACAGCCATATTTGTGTCCCGGAGGGAAACTAGAGTGTGTGTGTGTAAACAAAAACCATTTTCTGTGGATCAGAAAGACCTAGAAAAGAACTGGATGGCATGACAATGGTCTTCTGGAATAATTAGGCTAGTTAGCTAGGGAAAAAAAAACAAACCACATTTCTCTTCCGTACACAGGCTTGGGCTAACTATAACTTTGCTTTCCAAAGTGATCCCTCTTCTCTGTGTATTATATAAGCCCCCCGTGAATCTCAAGGTGGTGAGCACGGCCACGCGTTACCTTTGAGCTCCCTCAAGTGGCAAGGACGCCCTCAAGTTTGCCGCACTGGTGCTTCGCAACGAAACCTTACAGTTAAAGACCCATGTTTTTTAAGAGCAACGAGAATAAACCGAAAGAGCTGCTCTGACAGACTAGTTAAGGGCAGTTGAAAACGCGGCCCCGTAACTTCAGAACACAGTTCTTTTTTGACAGCTCTGTTAAAAGACACATGTTGAGTGAAAGGCGAGCATTTTCTGTGCAGTGGTGATTTTATGGTGAATGAGTTGCGTCTTAAAGGGTTTGTCCAATATGGGAAGACCTTTTCTGGACAAGACATCTCAAGTAAAATGACTTTTAATAGCCAAAAGGAGGACAGTGGAGAAATTTTACAAACTTTTGCATTTCCCTGTATGTTTATTGTAGGCTTATTGCAGTTTACACCCTTTCTTCTTTTTTTTTTTTTTTTTTTTTTTTTTTTTTTTTAGGTTGCTGTTGCTTATGAGAGGTTTATTCCTATGAAATGTCTCAAGAAAAATACTAATATAAAGAAATGAAGCCTAGCCATGTGAGGAGAAAGGCTGGAGAAGCCATAGAGGGGACTCATCGGTGCTGAAGCGCCTGGCTGAGGTTGCTCCTTGGCACCTCCAGCTCCAAGCAGGGAGGACATGGGCTGGACAAACCTGCCTGAAGGAAACCCAAAAACACCTCCTGGGTTTTATGTTTTAAATTAATCAGGGGCAACAGAGGCACCCTTCCTCCATGGGGCTCGCTCGCCATCTGACCATGGCATCGCCTTTGAAATCCCTTTAAATAGAAAAGGAGCCTAGAGGTGCTAAAAGCTGAAATAACGTCCTGCCAGCTGCGTGCCTGCGACACAACTCTGTTGTCAAAAGGCCAGGCTGGGCCTGTTCTATCTAGCTGATGCCCTCACCAGGCCGCGAGGTCAGTCTAGGGTCACTTAGGGGGGGTTTCTGGGGCTTTTTTGCCCCCGGCCCGTTCCTGGTTTACCTCAGCAGGGTCGTTACCTGCCGTGCCTACCGCTCGGGGTTCTACACCTCCCGGTTCGGTGATTTCCTCACGCCCGGGCGCGGCCTGAGGCGCTGGGGGGCGGCCGGCCGGCCCGCCC